ATATATATATATATAAAATGAGAGAGCAAGAATATGTGCGCTCTATTTGGGGTTTGTGGTTTCATCTTAAGAGAGAGAGGCACGGTGTTATCTCCTTTCTTGGGAGAAAGTCGATTTCTCATTACTCTCGTATCTCTATCTGGTATGATAAACATTTCCAAAAGTCAACGGTTGGTGAAGCCGGTCAGGAGAGTGGATTCAAGGTTACTCAATTGAGTATTGTCCATGGTTAATAAGATACCTTTTGTATCTGAAAATCTTTGATATAACTCTTATCAATATAGTAGATTTCAATTTGCCACACCTTTGAATGTAGTACCTTAAGTTGAACCGCATAAATCTTTGTGCTATTGTGGTGTGTGTGCATATTTTATTTCTCATATTATAGTTTGTGTCATTGCCTATTTGTTTCTAGCTAGTTAAGCACAAAATCCTTTAGGGAGGTTATATTTTTAGAGCTAAGAGGGCTTTAAAGAACTCTTATCAATATAGTAGATTTCAATTTGCCATACCTATGAACGTAGTCCCTTAAAGTGAACCACATAAATCTTTGTGTTATTGTGGTGTGTGCTCATACTTTATTTCTTGATTATAATTTGTGCCAGTGGCTATTTGTTTCTAGCTAGTCAAGTACAAGATCCTCGTGGGGAGCTCATATTTCAACAGCTAAAAGGGTTCTAAAATCTCTACATCTCTCTTCATGTGTGCGTTGAATAGTTTGTTCTCGTGTAATATTTTTAGCCTTGGCATTTTCCTCTCAGAGAGAGAGAGAGAGGTGGCACCATTCATATGATAGGAGAGAGGGGGTCATATGATGTCGTTAAGCCTGATGAGAGAGAGAGAGATGGCTTCAATAATATGAGATGAGAAAGGTGGACATCATTTGATGTTGATAAGGCTGATAATTGTGTGTGAGAGAGAGGTGTTAAAGAAAATCCGTAATATTTTTGGAGGATATTCAAAATCCAGTTGCCAAGCATAAGTGGATTTCACTTCAGCAGCTAGCCCCAGTGGGGTTTCTTGGAAGGACTGGGAAGTGGGAACCAATCAAATAATATGCCATTTGTATTTGTGCATAGGAATTCTAACTCCTCTCTCCAACCCTAGAAAGGGAATCTTGACCTTGTGAAACCACATTGTCCTCCCTTTAAAAAGCCAATACTAATTTTATGGGGTAGACCCAATCTTTTTGTTCATTAATCTTCATGAGTTTGCTTATTTAATTGGTGCCCCTCCCCTTTAAAAACCACAAGAGCTTATAATTCTCTAATTGTAGAAGCCTTCTACTTTTTTTACCAAATTAAGACGTATGAATCTCACACTTCATGACAAGACAGCGGTGGGTGGCATCCTTTATGCCCTCCAATCCTCAAGAATATCACTACTTAGGGAAAATTTCCTAATTGTGCCTAAGTTTGGGAAGGTTCGAACAGGTCACACTCTAACCATTATACTAGCTAGCCATCAAAGTAGACTCCAAATGTCTCTTCTAGAACTTTATTAGGTAAAAAAGAATCATGGAACCAATGAATGGCTTGCATTGTTGCCATAGGGATTAGGATTCTAAACATATTTAAAACATGTTATGGTTGCTATTTTCTATTATTTATTATAATTTTTTTGGTGGG